TTCTTGCTTTTTGATTCTATCTCCCCTTACTGCTCTTACTTCAACTTCTGCTAATTGTGTTGGGGGACAGAATCAAACTAGAAATGAAACTAAGGCAAAGTGCGGTTATATGTCTATCTTCAGACTCAGAAACATGAGCAGTTGGAGGACAACATAAAAGGCAGGACTCAAACTTTTAGTCTGGATGCAGATGTATTGGGTCATACTGTTTCTGCCCCAGATATCCATTGGGGCCATGAATGGTGGGCATCTCCATTTTTAAAATAAACCTCTGCTTGGCACTTGTAAAATTGTTTATAACCTAAAAGTCACATCCTTTGAGCAGGAAAAAAAATGACTTAGGTAGCGAAACATCACCAAGAGTGAAATAAAGAAAAGGAATTTTTTAAAATGTATCCACATTTTAGAGTCTCCAATGTCACTTTTATTTTTTTCCCTAATTTTCAATTGTTATTATAAAGGTGATGTACAGAGGGGTTACAGTGACAGAAGTCAGGTAATGAGTATATTTCTTTTTGGACAATGTCACCCCTTCTCGCACTCTCTCCTAGTTTTTCCCTCCTGTCCTCACCCACAAGTTATATAGTTCATTTTCAACACTGTCTAGTGAGGACCACTGCTTCATTTGTTCCAAAGTATCAAAGTTAGTTCTGATTCCTCTGTGATGGGGGGAGGGGTTGCATTCTTTCTTGTTGTTCTAACTCACTTGTACCCTCCAGCTTAATTCCTCCATTCCTATGAGAGCCCAAATGGGAATGAGAAGAACGAGAAATTGCTAGGGTCTGGCCAATAGAAATCCACAAGTTTCTTGGTCAGGAATGAAAATTGGTTGCTTGAATATAGAGAGATAATCATGGCCAGACTGTGATTATGCTTCCAAACTAAAAAACAAAATATACCCTCAGATATTGGGGAGAATATTAGGCAAGACTTGTTGATCTCTTTAAAAAAATCTAAGTGGGATATGGTATAACCATGATGAGGAAGGAATTAGAAAACAAGTCTGAAAAAAGGGAATTTGGAGGAGTAAGCAGTGTTAATACTTACCCTCATCTCTTGAGTCTGGAATAACAGGTCCTTATGGGAAATTAAGGAAATGTATAAGGAATGTAAAAGTTTTCTAAGCAGAAAACTTTCTGTTGGCATTAATGAACTCATTTCTAGTAAGTTCATGAATACCATCCTAGATTAGAGGGGAAATTATGAACAGAAAGAAGAAGGAAAAGTAGGATAATAGTTTTAAAAAATGTATCCTAAATCCTACTCTGGCTTGTGTGTAGTATTTCCATCTTAGAGCACATTGTGTTTGAAATAGGTCTATGAGGAAATTGATTTGAAGCTAGAAAGGCATCCCCAAAGTTAAATACTTTAGGGTTTTGATTTTTTTTTCTTTCATGTCACTGGAGATTTAGTTTATAGCAGCCAGGTATGAAGCAGGCCTTATTATGTATGATAAAATATTGTTAAGACAGATAAGGATAGTTCATGAATTATATATATTGAAAGTGTATTCAAACTGTGGAGCAATGAATCAGACCCCCTAAGATTATATGTCAGTGGCAAAATAAAACCAAGAGAACTAAGGATAAAATAAATTATTACCTTATGATAGTCCTGTGATAAAATTGAAAACAGGGTTAAAAAAAACTAGCTGTATCAACTTAATTATATTTAAACTTTGCTGTGTAAAATTAACTCCAACAATTCAAGTAGTCATCAATCTCATTCTGATTCTTCACAGAGTGCAAGTGATTATGGTCATTTGTTCTCACCCCTACCACACCATTTTTATAGGAAAATATCAAATTTTACCCCTTAAGGAACCACAGAGATTATTTTTAAGTTGAAACATTTTTTTCTTTAGGCAAGGAAATGTTTTCTATTGTTTATCAATTAAAAAGACAGCATTTCAATGAAAAGTACTTAAATTTAGATAACCCTGATATAACATGTTAGAGAGAACAGAAAGCAAGACTATTAAATTAAATTAATTAGAAAATTTTCATTAAAAATCTGTTGGTTTAAGAAAGATAGACAAAGAGAAAGATAAATGTTTTTGTACTTTGTCAGAAACTGAGCCATCTTTTAAACTATTTATAACATAAAAAATTTAAAAAGTTATATTTCTGACACAAACTTTTGAAAATAACTATGAAAGTCAGAAGCAAGGAAATTTTTAGACCTCTAAATGAATGTAAATTCATGTGATAATTTAAGAAAAGACTTTTATTAAATCGTAAAGATGGTCTTTGCTTTAAAAACAGGCCAGAATATGAAAATTAATTAAAATCTGGACAATAATAGAAGTGAAACTTGAATTTGGACTACCTTCTCATGTTAGGAAATTATTATTTTGTAGAGTCAGAATGTAAGTATAAACAATGTGTTTAGTTAGATCAAAACCTGCACTTTTTGTGTGTTCTTGCTAATTGTATTATATTAGTAACACCAAAAAGGAAAAGGTAAACTTTTTCGAGTATTTTATAGAATTAGCAACTTATTTTATCTTGGACATGAATTTTATTAGTGTATTTTACTTGTATGAACAGTATAAATCACATATCTGGAAATCATGTTTTAAAGCAGATAAACTATGAAAGCATTTGAAATGTCTAAACAAACATTATTAAGCTGCCCTAAAGTATTATATAAAATTAAAAAGTTGAAAGTAGTTAAAAAATTATACAGATTCTGTTGCACATCTGCAAATCTGTACATTCTAGCTTTTTCAGTAGCACCACATTTAAAGAGAGAAATAGACTGCAATATTTGTTTTCTATTAACACCTATATATCCTCAGAAGTACACAAGATTTCTCCTAATTTTAAACATATTGATACAGTTACATATAAATATTTTAAAAATCTTAGTATAGAGTTCAGTTTTTTTAAAAAAAGACATGTTAGGAATACATGCGGTAAAACAGAATCTAAAAACTTTGGGAGAAATATATTGGGTTTTGGCATAAAGTTAAAAGAATTTATTTTCAAATAAACTTGTTTTCTTATTTAAGGATGGTTTATTAAGTATATAGATTTAGACACTTTAATTAGCTAAATAGGAGATATGACAATTCTAAATATAAAGTACTATGCTAATCTGAAAAAATTAGAAATCTATTTCAAATGTAATTTTGTGATCTTTATATAAAGTTATTCAATTTATTTTTAAAATTTCTGTATTTTAAAGCTTAAAAGAAATGAAAAATATGTCTAACCTCCTAATGGAAATTATAATCTCAGAACAAAGAAAAGAATGACAAACACGTAATAAATATATGAGATCAGCTTCATTTCTGATTTCTTTTTGAACTTTTTATGAATCATACATTGTATTATTAGGAGAATAATAGATAAATACAATATGCATCAAATTTTATGTTCTCACAGCTGTTAAAAATAAAAGGAAAATGCAACTTTGCCTAGCTTAATATTAACTAAGTACTAAGTGAAAATTAGAAAAATATAAAAGCTATCATAGTATTTTATTCTAAAATTCCCTATACATATATGCATATAATATTTTGTACATAGGTATGTAACACTTGCCTTAATTGTTTGTGGAAATTCATGTTGTAAATGAGTGCAAAAATAAATGATGGGGAAGTATTTTCTCATTGTAGTTTATTACATAAACAAATTTACCAGTTAGCTAACTGTAACATTAAAGAACACATTTAAAATATAATTTTTCAGAATTTTATTGAAGATATCTTTTTAATAAGGCATTGTTTGGGCTTTTGTGTGTGTTGTATTAGGATTTCTAAGTGTTGTGATTTTGAAGTTCATGGTATTTTTTGAATTCCCTTTACATTGGCAAAATGTTTCTGTGGAAAAATCAGACATTGTTTACATTTTATTTTATATTTTGGAATAGGCAAAACAGTAGATACTTTGGGAGAATTATAGTTGTTGTTTTAGTGTATGTAGCAAATACCAAGCATTTTTTTCTCTCAATCAGTTATGCAGCTGTGCAGCTTGTTTTGTGCATGTACATACTGGAAATTTAACTCATATTGATGATGTGGTTTTATCTATCAAAGAATACTAATCTTAGATTACTGGGAAAAATATTAAAAACAAATGCATTTTAAAATTCTTCTTTTTAATTAAAATGGGTGAGAATTGAAAGAGTTCATTCATGAATAAAGTGTGGGACTGTAGTTTCCTGAAAGAATGAGCTCTGTTTATTTTTCAAATTTTATCAGAATGTTTCTTAATTTTTTTGTTGGCATTTTTTAAGGTCAGAAAGGCATTAAGCAGTAGTATTTGCTATTTCTGATTATTTTTCTGTGGAGAGAGAAAGGGAAAGCAAAATAAACTGTGTGCACATGGGGTTTTCTTAGGAAAAAAAATACTTTTAAGATGAAAAGGTATGTGGCCCATAATCGTTTTTTCTCGTTAAGATGTACCTGTTGTGAAAGGTAAATCTACATGAATTTCTTAAGTGTATATATTTGAAGAAAACTGTTTTTGTAAAATAGGGAGATGTAGGACATTGTGAATAGTTACAGGACAGTCTTTCTTGTTGATTTCCAGGACTCAGAAAACAGATCTTTGAATTAATAGTTTTTAGTACAATACTGTCTGGGGTATAATAACTTTTTTAAAAGTCTGGGAAACTTATAAAGGGGAAAGGGGAGGTTAATTGACCCTACATGTACCCCTTAAATGGTGAGCATTAGTGTGAGTTCTCTGGAGACTAACAAAGGATACTCTCTCAGGGATGGTTTTCTGGGCAGCTGAAGTTGTGTGTATGATGAGGGAAGGAGGTGAGAGAGCAGAACTGGAGCAGTTTGTCAAAAATTCCCACGTTAGTTTGAGATTGTGAGGGTGAAAGTAGATGCAACAGTTTGGCTTCTGGAAAGGAAGGGGTGTCACAGGTTCAGCAGCCCCGAGGCCACGACGGGGTTAACGGCGGCAGCGCGCGGTGCACTCTGGGAGTTGTAGTCCAGGGCATTGTGGGAGTTGTCGTAAACCGCCTGCTTTTCTGCTGTCATGGCGGCCACCGAAGTGGAGAGCTGAGTGTTTTTGCCTTTCTGGGGGTCCTGGCGGGCTTTCTGTGTCGTCAGAAGGCCACCAGCAGCCCCTCGGGGTGCCCGAGGGTCTGTTAATCATGTTCCCGGGGGGTGGGCGAGCGGCCTGCGGGGTTCACGGTGGGCCTGCGCCGTTTTATGGCCTGGGGGGCCTGTGGGGGGCTGAGGGCCCAGGGCGGGAGGGTCTCAGCCGGCCAGACGTTGGCCAGGGGGCGCGGGCAGCCCTGGGCCTTTGGGGGTGTGCTGCCTGCTTCCCTTTCTCTGTCTTCAAAGTGTTTGTTTGGCTTTCTGTCTGTAGTCGCTGGTGTTCCTGACCCTGTTTGGGGTTAAGCTGGGCTGCTTCTCTTAGGTGTAGAGGAACTCAGGTAAGGGCTGGAATATTAACAGGTGCGTCTGTGCTCTCTTCTGTCTGGCGTAGGGTGTAACAGGTGGCACGTGTTATCAGCGTGTCTGTGGATGTGGAGTTGACTTTCTTTTGAATGTGGTGAACTTTGCCCTAGTTTGCTAATCCCGAGAGACAGCAGCGGGGCAATTCCCACCTGGGAAACGCCTCTCTGTGTTCACTTGGATGTGTTCCTGTCTTTGGCAGCTTCCAGAGGTGTATTGTGCACTTGTCTGTGTAAAACGGTGGCCAGGGCAACAAGTACGATAAGGTCTAGAGAGCTCTCCCCTTTTTTATTTATTCGCGGGTGCTGTCAGATTTGTTGTCTCGGGACAACATCTGATTGCCAAGCACATCAGCACCTGTCTCAACCTGTATAACCTGTGTGTACAAACGTGGATCTTACCGATTCTGCCACTATGTATGCTATAAATACGTCCTTTCCCCGTTTTCTGGTTGTCTACATAACTAAGGGGTAACTGGTCATAAAAAAATACCATTTCTCAGATGACAGTTGAAAGCATTTTCCTTACAAATAGATCTGGCCTTAGGAAGTGGTTTCTCTCAATTTTGTTGAAGTAGGAGATTTGAAATGAGGTCCGGTAGGGGCTTTGGAACTCAGTCATTGAATTTTAGTTTCAGGAGCAGCCACATGACAGACATAATTTATGCAGACTGTGAAAAATACATGTTATGTTCTTGTGGGAATTTTGGAGCATGTTAACAGTGTTTAGCTGTCATTGTGTTAGAACAATTTCATATTTAAAAAATCTCTGATGTGTGTGTGATCTTATTTCCATAATTTTACCCTTCTTTGAGTTTGTGTAATACTTGATAACTTGAGTTGTAGAGAAAAAAAGCTGGCTGGACTTGTATGTGGTGTTCTGTTGAAAGTGATTTCAGCTTTCGATTGATAGATTAATGTTGTTGGCTTGTTAGGTTTCAGGAAGGTATTTCTTTCCCTTTGAGCTTTCCTTGGTGTCTTAAGAGTAGTAACTTTTCAGTTGAAATGTGACTGAGAAATTTATTTTTAAATGAGCCTTACCATACGGTTTTATTGTTTGTAATAATGGGGTAAAATGTCATTGATTGCAGGGAATTAGTTTTGTATCTTAGGAAGACTGAATGTCTACAGATTGTAGATTTGTAGAATCATTCAAGACCAACCACAACCATTGTGTTAATTTGCTTTGAAATAAATGATAAAACTTGTTATTGTCATGTGGTCTCTGACTGAAGCAGGACACGTAGTGGTTCATTAGAAAGTTCATTAGAAGGTGCTTTGCAAGTGCAAGTTGCTTTGATCAGCTTACAACTTGTCTCCCTATTTGCATAGAACCCATCTAGACATGTATTTAAGCAGATCCATCTCTTGATATTATGAGGTTTTACATTCAAGAATTCTGGCATTTAATACCTGAGGCCTTTATCTGGTTCTCTGCTTTCCATTTCTGTCACTCCAGTTCTGCAGTTGCTGTGAAACAGTAGTTATTTCAGTAAAGAAAATGTGGTAAGATCCACTTATATTTTCTGGGGAACCTGTATTTTAATCTGTGTTGTATATACTTACTTGGTACCTATGTCAAAACTTCTTCAGCTTTGTATTGTTTTACTGAAATTCCTCTCAGTGAAATGTAACACCAAAGGAAAATTTGCTTGACCACTTTTGGAAGATGACAAACACTTAAAATTTTTATTTTTGACTGTAACCAAGTGTAGGAACACTAGAAAGAGATTAAGGTAAGGTTACTTAGATCCTTTGTAATCTCTTGGTTTTGTTAGAAAACTCCTCATTGATGGGCATAAGCAGTTTTTTTTTCTTTTTTCTGTTTTTTTCTGGGCCTGAGGCTTGAACTCTGGGCCTAGGCATTGTCCCTAAGCTCCTTTTACTCAAGGCTAGCACTTTACCACTTAAGACATAGTGCCATTCTAGTTTGATATTTATTTTTCATTAATGTTATTTGAAAAGAGACAGTTGTTTATTGTCATTTGTATACTTGCATATGGTTTTGTTAAGCTTTATACTTTTAGATTGTAGTACTCATAAACATGGAATATATCTCCAGCCACATCATCTTCACAGAGGACAGTAAGGTTTCTGAGAGAAAGGAGTAAGGTATTTAAAAAGTCCCAAGTCTGTTTCTGATGATGTTTATTTCGTTATTCTGTTTACATATATTTATAGGATTGGATAAATTAATTGAGGTGCTGGTCCTTATTTTTTGAATGTTGATCTTATATGATTTTTTGTGATCAGGACAGAGTAAATCATCATTTACTTGAAAATACTGAAGATAGATTAAAAGATAGGAAGTAGCTCAATCTGGGGTCAGCCTGAGTCATATAGGAGCCCCTGGTATCAGTTCACCACTATTGAAAAGAGAGGGTGATCACATGCACTGATCCTATCAATGATATAATTCTGTTTTAAAGTTTTGAAAAGAGACCATTTTGCTTTATTCTCTGCCATTCTAGTTTGGTTTTAATTCAGCTTTCTTCCTCTGGACGTAGAATTTAAATAACATCTTTATTTTTAGTGAGGGAAAATTACCAATTACAGGCTTTCTCATCACTATCTTTTTTTTTTTTTCTTTTCATCAGTTACGGGGCTTGAACTCGGCCTAGGATCTGTCCCTGAGCTTTTTTGCTCATGGCTAACACTGTACCACTTTGAGTTACAGCACCACTTTGGTTTTCTGGTGGTTAATTGGAGATAAGAGTCTCACAGACTTTCCTGCTGTGTCTGGCTTTGAACCATGATTCTCAGATCTCGGCCTCCTGAACAGTTAGGATTACAGGCATGAGCCACAAGTGCCTGGCCATACTATATCTTTATAATTAAAAAGTTTATAATTTTAGTAGTTTATAATTAAAAGACTATAAATATATTTCTGTTCTGGGTAAAAACAAACCAGTGACTTTGTTAAACTTCACTAGTGAAGTCAGAGTTTAGCCTACAGAAAAAAAAATGCAGGATATATGGCTGTGGTTTTCTTTTGTGTTATTAACAATCTTCAGACAACCAACACAGGTGTATGCCTTGTCCTTTTGAAGAGAAAAATTCTTGCCTGCCACTCTCAGGACATAAGTACATGTATTAGACTAATATAAGAAGCCAGGCACTGGTGGCTCATGCCTGTGAAATTCCAGAGGCTGAGACCTGGAAGATTGTGGTTTTAAGCCAGTCAAGACAGTTTGGAGCTTTTATCTCCAGTTAACTGGCAAAAATAAAGTTGAACTGGAGGCATTGCTTAAGTGTTAGAGAGCCAGCCAGTCATATCCTGGTACAGGCACATACACACAAAAAGAATAATGTATGAAGTCTTTGAATTTACATAAAACAATAGAAGAAGCTGTTTTACATGGCTCACATATATAATCCCTGCTATTTAGGAGACATAGATAAGAGGATTCATATTCAAGATCAGAATGTGCAAAAAGCAAAATTCCATGGCAGCAAAAAAAAGTCAGGTGTAGTGCTGCATACCTATAGTCCCAGGAAGGTAGGAGGCCAGCCTAGTCAAAAGCCCAAGACCGTATTTGAAAAACAACTGAAGGTTTTCGTTTTCTTTTGATTTTTAAAGGCTTAGGAGTGTGGCTCAAATGGCAGAGAACCAGCCTAGTAAGTACTAATCCCAAAGTTAAAACTCTACTACATATGCAAAAAAAACCAGATTCCATATGTGTTTGCCATTTCTAAAAGACTATTTGTAAACCACTTTCTGTTAGTTTGTCTATGGTATGCACACCCATACTGAAGTTTGAACTCAGGTCCTCTCACTTACCGTGCTGGCTTGCTTGCTCACTACTGCTGAAGCCATGCCTCCATGGCTTCATGGTGGTTACTTTGGAAATGGAGTCTTGTGAACTTTTCTACCTAGACTGGCCTTAAACTGTGATCCTTCAAATCTAAGTGTCCTAAGTAGCTAAGACTTATAGTCATGAGACACTGGAACCTGTCTAAATACATGTTTCTTGATTTTAAATTGTCTTTAGGAATTTAGGTAGTATTTTGTTTTATTTTTGGTGGCAAGAACCATGTCTTTTCAATTAAGTTGTTTTTAATAGAGTTGGTCAACTTGTTTCTATTTTTTTATATTACCAAAACCATTTAGTATATAATTAAAGAGCATAGTGCACTAGAGAGTTAAAATGAAGATATTGATGCTTTCAAATTATTCCGTAGCGGGAGGTATGGCGAAAGTAATGGAGTGCAGGCCTAGCAAGTGTGAAGCCCTGAGTTCAAACCCCAGTACTGAAAAAAAAAAACCCACAACACTATTTTGTACTGTTTGCTATAATTATGATAAGATTTGAACTTGAAATATGTTACAATCGAGTTACTTATTTGTGAATGACTTAATCCTGTGTAAGAACCTATATATTTCATATTAGTTTTTGAGACAAGGCTGTGTGTGTATGTGTGTGTTTGTGTGTGTGTGTATTCATTCTAATGAAAATAAATCAAAAGTAAAGTGGAGATGACTCCTAGTTCACTTGAAGAGAAGTATTCTAAATTAAATGTGGAAAGAATGTTTTTTTTTTTTTTTGGGTCTGGTCATGGAGCCTAAACTCTGGGCCTGGGTGCTGTCCCTCAGCTCTTCAGCTCAAGGCTAGTGCTCTACCACTTGAGCCACAGCACCACTTCCGGCTTTTTT